TTGAAATTAAATAGAAGAAAATACAAAACATTAAACATGTTAACAACACAAAAGCCATATTAAACGCAGACTACTTTAGGCCCGGAAGTAGGATTCGTCACGTCATCACTTAACGACCGGATAGGTTTTCTCTGGAAAGTCTCATCTTTTCAAGCTCATTCTTCTCTTCGTCTGGGAATCTCTCACTCATATCTTCAACCTGCTCCAACCCCCTCCCTTGGGTACAAAAATCGACAAGTGTATGACAAGCTGAAATGACACTAAAAGAGTGCTCCAGCAGTTGTGACATCACTTTTGGCAATTGCCTCAAACAGAAAGCTGAAAATGAATTTGATTCTGAACTGAACAGAAAATCACTTATTTAATATACAGATGTCATCTGTAATTATAGCCTGCGGTGATGTGGACCTAGAATGCCATAATGTTACTACCAAAAACAGGGAAGAACATACTTAAAACGCTTCAATTCTTACATTCATCTCCTCAGCCAAGGGGCAGTAACCAGTAAGTCAGTAAAGCAAAACCTGACAACTGGGATTAAAAACACTTAAAAAAAAATCAAAGTCAAAGTCAAAGTCAAAGTCAACTTTATTGTCAATTCTGCCACATGTACAGGACATACAGAGAATAGAAACTACGTTACTCTCAATCCCTAGATAAAAAAGCAAAAGAACATTTAAATATAAGAGTGATTAAAAATGCAGGTAAAATAATTAAAAAGTAAAAATTTTAAATAAATAAATACAATCAAATAGAATGTCTTAAAATTTAACCTTTGAGATGTCAGGAAGCAAAAGAAAAATCTGGGAAAAAATGAAGGAAAATCCTGAAAATCGCCTCCCGCAGATGTGTTCCTTATTTTATTTGTCTCGTGTCACGATTAAAATGTTATAAATTAATCTTATTTGTTTTTGTATTATAGTGTCTGTTGTTAAAAGCCATACTTCCACTGCTAATTTCAATCAAACTAAAGCAAGCCATGGTGTACTTTTATATTGCGTTAGGAGGCGGATGTTTTTCTTTTTGTCATGATGTCGTTTGTACCATTCTTGTTACAGTTAGCACCATTTTTTGTTGCATTATGTAGATGTAGTGTTTATGAATATGTCCTTATGATTATTCGTGTTTGTCTTCCATTTGATGGATTTTAGGATTGAACAAAGTTGCTCAATGAAGGCTGAAAGGGATAAAGGAAAATTCTCCTGCTTTAGCGGGTTTTATGTCCTCTCTTTGCTTCCTTCCTCTGTTCATTCACCCTCCCCCTGCAATATTAAATCTGTATGTTTGCCCTCTTTTTCTTCTTTCCCTTCACTTACCCTTTAAATCAAATGAGCCACCTATTTATTTTATCTCAAATATGGGTCTGGTGACCACTATTCTGTTTCTGGAGTGCCTGTGAGTGCGTGTGACTGTCTGTCATCTTTTTCCTCTGAAAGAAAAGTGACGTTCAAAAGCCGAGGAATGGTTTTTATGTTGCTTTTTTTAATAGTACATATATAAATACCTGTACAGGAAGGTCTAAATAGAGCGTTTTGTTAAAGGAAGTAAGATCCAAAGCACTTGTCTAACAAAAGTAACACCATTTATCATGGCTTGTCTGCGTTCGGGCTTAGAGTGGTGGGCATCTTCTACACACACGTTATCAGTATGGAGGGGAAGAGTACAGAGGAAACTACTGTAAAGATGATAATGATGATTTTTTTCTCATTATTTTGAACTTTGAAGTGTAAAATAACTTTTTGACTCTCACTATATTTAATTAAAGTTCTTTCTTCTCTGTGAAAAGGTGTCGGTTACTGTCTCTAAAGTGCCACATAGAATGCAACACGCAACACACACATGCAAGGAAATTATGCAGTATAATTATTTCCTGAAAAAAAACACAGTACTTACTATTACTTACAGTATAATTATTTCTTCTTTGGGTAAAACTTAACTATAATAATAATAATTAACCATTTATTCTAGTACTGTATATTTACCCATAAGTCTTTGTAGGCCAATTTAATCACAATCATGAACATAATCATAATTTCCAATAAAGTACGTTTAAATTCTATTTGAGTTTAGGGGAATTAAACATTTTGTCATGGGCCATATTATAAAGTGATACCATTAGATTCTGTGTGTTTTTCCTTATGGATCCACCTGCATTAAAGGTGCAGTGTGAATTAACTTTTGTCTGATTCTGCATCCTACATTTGGGTCCTAAATCCACACTTCATAACGGGCTGTCATGTGACAGTAAACCACCAAACACACAGGTCTCCACCGGTTATCTGAAAACACTCAGTATTAATGCAACTGATGAATGCTGGACATTGTTATTACTCTGTCTCTGATATGACCTTTTACACTATCACTGAACAGAAACTTGACCAATATTGGCAATAGAGGGTGTCTTACAAAGGAAGCATGCATACATCCAGAAAGTCCAGGCTTTGCTCCCTCATTGTTTATTTATTTAAAGCAGAGCGATGGAAGCTTCAGAAATATATACCTAGACTTGTTTATCATGCCCCACGGCTGCATTTTAAATTTTATGTCCTTGGCCTTTGGCTAAAAGCAGTATTTCAGTCTGCTACACAAAAAT